GGTGTTTAAAAGGTTTCAGTAAACACCATGGGTGCTTAAATTCATTTAATGGTACATGTTTGTGAAGATATTGAATAAGGAATATTTATGTGTATTATCATGTATTCTCAAAGTATATTTCCTATATCATCCTGTATCATATATTATTAAAATATCAAAATATTTTATTCCTGTATGAAAAATTCAGAAAGTGAAAGAAAATATCCCAGTTCTGTAGGTAGCTTATGTTACATGTACACAGAGGTATATTTTGGGCAATATATAGTCTTTAGAAATTTTGATTTAATGGTATTAACACAAGTATCATTTTTGAGCAAAAATGTAATAATTGCAGAAAGTGTAAAAGCATAAGGAAGCAAAACTTCATTCTAATTACATTTTTTTCTTATCTTTCCTCCCCCCTCTAGAATGCAATTCTCAAGTCCAGGATGAATGAATGCCACTATGATAAACGCATGGACTTCTTTTATAACAGGAGTAACACTGATACGGCCGATGAGTGGTCAGGGACTACTCTTGTAATAGTTTTATGCTTCGGCACTTTTTTTTGTTTCTTTATTTTCCTTTCAAACTCATTGGTCATAGCTGCTGTGGTAAAAAACAAGAAGTTCCACTACCCCTTTTATTATTTGCTAGCCAACCTCGCTGCTGCAGATTTTTTTGCAGGTATCGCTTATGTATTTTTGATGTTCAACACTGGCCCAGTGTCAAGAACATTAAGTGTAAATAGGTGGTTTTTGCGCCAGGGACTTTTGGACACAAGTTTGACAGCTTCTCTGGCCAACTTACTGGTAATTGCTGTTGAGCGCCACATATCTATTGTGAAGATGAGGGTTCACAGCAATCTCACAAAGAAGAGGGTCACGTTTTTTATTCTGTTGATCTGGGCCATCGCGATTTTCATGGGCGCGGTGCCCACATTAGGCTGGAACTGCCTGTGTGACATTTCCACCTGCTCTTCTCTAGCTCCTATTTATAGCAGGAGTTATTTGATATTTTGGACAGTCTCCAATCTGGGAGTTTTCTTCATCATGGTTGTTGTATACATAAGAATCTACATGTATGTCCAGAGAAAAACAAATGTTTTGTCTCCGCACACTAGTGGATCCATCAGCCGCAGGAAAACTCCGATGAAACTTATGAAGACCGTCATGGCAGTATTAGGTAAGATACAGTGAGCTGTGCTACTATTATTATCTAGCTTTAAAAAGTATTTTTTCTGCACCTGGATATATATGTATTTCTATTTGTTGTTCCATCCTTGGTCCCATTCTTCAAAAAAAAAAAAAAAATACAGCTTATTTACATATGGTTGTTGTGTAATGTTGTGGGGGAGCTATGCAGCCGCTGACTCAATACTAAGGCTTGAATTCCTCCTCTTTAGAGTTTTAATGCATGGATTGTTTTATTAGTTTTTATTAGATAAATACTGATTCACTTCAGAGTCACCTAAATTCCCAGGTTGGTGTTTTAGTGCAAAAAGAGAAGTCTCCCCTCAAATGACTAATTTAGATGGTAGTTTCAGCATTCAGTAGGTTCTCGATATTTATGATCGTAGCTTAATTTGGTCCAGTTCTTATCCATGTGAGGGATACTGGAAGTCTTGCTTAAGAATCAGCAATAGTCATGCAACACACTTGGCATGTGGGAATTGCAGCAAAACAAGTAAAGTACGGTAATAGGATGTCTTGCTAAGATGCCGTGTTGGAACTATTTGGTAAAAAGATAGAATCCATCAAAGGACAACAAATACCAAAAGGCAACAAATGAGTCTGTTAATAAGTAATAGGAGCACTGAAGTGAAAAATGGGGAGGAGTTTGGTTTGAATTTGATAGTTATCACATATGCTCAGTTACCTGTCCAATTTAGAGGAGAATTGGTGTATTCTGTATTTCAGGCATAAATAAGTCATCTTTAATTATTTAATTTAATTAATTAGTTAACAAAACTTTTAGAACACCTTTGTTAGTTGCTTGAATGGCTAATAAGGATTCTTAAAAATTGGGGTAGCTTGGTGTTCAGATACTGGCAAGATCTGAGAGCAAAAATCATAGAGGATTTAGGGAATTTGTCCTCTTTAAAATAACTTGTCCTCTGAGATATTTATTTTTACTTCTTTTTGACAATCTGGATTCAATTTCTCATCATCTTCAATTATGACTGTGCTGGCTGTAATTTAGCATAACTGACGGATGTCAGATTAGGAAAAGCTAATAAAAAGTGTTACTTTTTTTTAGCTTATATCATATTTTCTTACTGTTAGCAACTTAATTAGGATTCCTTTCTTATGTAAGATACTTTCACAAAGATAATTTCTTCCCCCAAATTCATTGTCACCTGATAGGAAAATTTTAATGCTACAAAGAAGCATCTTCGACTCAAGCTGTTGAGCAGGTGTTCAGAAAAGGAAGATGGAGTGGCCTTGAGAAGCTTGGGGGTGGCTGCTTGCACACTTTTCTTCTTTTGATCATAAAAACCTTCCTTCATAATTATGAATATGCCATGTTAATCTTCTTAGAGTTGCCTTCTTAAAAGAAGATAACAAAAGAAAGCACTGCTCTGTCTTGCTGGGGACACCCATATTTTAACATTGTGATAGCCACAACATGCAAAAGGCAAGTTTAACATTCTTATCTGAGTTAGACTCAAGGACATTGTCTGGAAAGTGAATTCAGTCTGGCAGATAGCTTGCTTCTCATCTAATGAGAATTTAGAGGGATTGGGGGAGTGGGGCAAACCTATCTATATAACCTAAACAAAAAGTGGTATACTTAATAATAAACATCAATAATAGTCCAATTACAGATAAGAGTTCTGCACCTAGTCTTCTATTGTTAAAAGCTGTTAGCTGTTTTACTTATCCAAACCTTTTGGCACTTCTGTCTGATATTATTGAGCAGATAGAAAATTATAGTCCATTTATGAAATTAGAAAGTATCATCTGGCAGGGGCCTTGAGATCCATGCTAAGCCAAGTAAATCAATGTTATCCCTGTTATGCAGATATTTTGTATGTTCATAAGTTGTTGGGTGTTAATGTAATCTCTTACCCTAAGCAATAAATTATGCTTAATTATAGTTGTATTGCTCTGTGATGTGAAATTTCTTTGAGACTTTTTCTTTCTTCTTTAGTGGTTATACATTTCCTCTTATTTTTATTTGCTATCGGGGCATCTGAGATGGATGTTATTGGATGATACAACCAAGACAATCTCTCTAAAAGTAGTGCTAGGTCAAACATAAAACTTCCATAGTGAAGACTAAATTAAACCATAGTTCACAAAAGCTTGCAGAATTTCCCAAGTAGTAGTTGGTTGAAATCCAAAATATCAGCATTGCATTTCCTTTACTATATGTAAAGCCAAAACAAATACCCCTATTACTGTATTTATAAAAGGAAAGCTATTAAATAATCTGGTGCTCTCCAGAAATTTCACTTCAAATCTTTTCTCACTCAGCCAGCCCATCGTTGGTAGATTGTGGCTTCTGAACACAGTTTTTCAGCACAGATGATATTTACTGGCACGTTTAATTTATTCCTGTTTAATTCAGCTTTTTGCTGAAATGTATGCTCCAAAAATTTTAAAAGCACACTTATGCAAACATTTAAAACATAACATCAATTAACAATAATACTTAAAAGCATGGTGTAGGAGATGCAGCTTTGCAGATTTTTGAGATATCAAGATTAGGGGAATCATATGCAGTTTTCTGCTAATTCATTCCATAGCTTGGGAGTATGCAGGGAAATGCTAATCTCTATGTGGCAGATAAAAAAAACCTCTGACAGTCCTCTTAGAGCCATGACCTAAGCTATTAAAGGCTTTAATGTTAAATTTTGTCTACTAAGCAACTGACATCCAGAACAGATCTTTCAGTCCAAGAAAAGCATGACCCCTATACCTTGTAGCAATTAATAGATTTGAGTTTATCATGAATTGTAACTTCCAGAAACTTTTCAAAAGAAATCCTGTGAGGAATGCATTGCATTGTAATAATCAAGTCAGTTGTATAGTTACAACCATATTTTGGATAGAGAGGACCATTGGTTTGAAAGAGGGGTAAAAGAATCCATCTGGGTTAAAATTAAACACCTCTCCCTCAACAGAAAGGGAGGAATAAGACACCACCTACAAGGATCTCCAGTTTGCAATGCAGCCCTTGCAACTGTTCCAAGATTTCACAACCAATTGTACTCTGATTCAGGTGACCCTGAGGGCTTAGATAAACCCCCAAGTGGCCTCAACAGCTCTCCGAGAGTGCTAGCAACCATATGACTGCAAAGAAATACAATTCTTCCATCCCCCCCCACCTTATCAGAACCTATTCTTCCATCCCCTCCACCACCATAAGAACCAATGAAGCTTCTTGGATGAGAAGTTAAACGTTTTCGTCCTCAAGGGGAAAAAAACAGTCCAGTTGCCTTTTGAAGAAGAAAAGCATCCTTGAGACAGCCATTGCATAGATTATAACATGGACTTCATATGCTCAGTGAGCTACACTGGTTCCCAATTTGCTTTCACAGCAATGTACGGTACTGGTTGTTACCTTTAAAGTCCTTCCTGGCATTGGGATGGGGAGATATTTGAGGAATTAACTTGCTTCCATTGTTTTTCTCTGATCCATTTGTTCAGGCAGGTTGTGGATCCAGATAATCTGATGGAACTCAGGAAATGTGCCTTTTCCATAGCTTTATCTATTCTCTGAAGCCCCACAACGCGTTGGAGGTGGGAATGGCTCTGATCCTATTTACTTTTTTAAAAGAGTTGAGGATCTGGCTGCTTCCTTGAGCATGGTATATGTCTGTGGAGATTCTCAATTATCCAGGCCATGACTGTCCCAAAGGTGCTTTTCAAAAGGCAACTGGGCTTTCTTAGTCTTTTCTTGAAAAGTTTTTGCTTCTCATCCAAGAAGCTTCAGAACTGAAGAAGCTTCTTGGATGAGAAGTGAAACGTTTTCAAGAAAAAAACTAAGCAAACCCAGTTGCCTTTTGAAAAACACCTTTGGGATTGTTGATATATGTTTTTTTTCCAGCAGCCACTTTGGTTTATTTTTAGTTTGTCATAATATTTATTTTTATATTGTGGTTCTAACCTGTATTAACCACGCAAAGTTATCTTAGTGAGGTAGGAACCCAACAATTAAACATCACTAACTTGCCAAATCTAAGTAACTCAGAAAGAATCTCAGCTGCTTAGTAGCCATCTTTATGCAGTACACTCACTGCAACAGGTACTATTTTCAAATCCAGTGATTTAAAACCAGGGTGTCCACTGTCACCCCCCCAGACAGTGGGACTATGATTTCAGGGGAAGAACAATCCCATCCATATAAGACTGAACCTCTGCCCCAAGTCCAGATCCCTATTAGTAGAACCTCAGTCCAGTGGTGGGATTCAATTTTTTTTACTACTGGTTCTGTGGGTGTGGCTTGATGGGTGTGGTGTGGCTTGGTGTACATGGCAGGGGAAGGATATTGTAAAATCTCGATTTCCACCCCGCTCCAGGGGAAGAATACTACAAAATCCCCATTCCCTCCCCATCCCACTAACCTGCTTTCCAGCTCCGTTCTCCTGTGCAGGGTAACAAAAGAAGACCCAGCCAATCAGCTGGGACTTGGGAGGCAGAGAATAGATGGGGGCGGGGCAGAAGTGGTATTTGCCGGTTCTAACTACTCAAAATTTCCGCTACCAGTTCTCCAGAACTGATCAGAACCTGCTAAATACCACCTCTGCCTCAGTCTTATTCTCCCTAGTATTAAACTTAACGAGTGTCCAAGGGTACCAGTTATTTCTTTGAATGGATGCTAAGGAACAATAAATCTTGAGATCATCTGCATATTTCAAAACTTTAAATGTTCTTCCCAGTAGTTTCATGTGGCATTGCATGCGGATTTATGCTTCTCCTTTTAGTATGGAAGTGAAATTAAAGTCTGGACAGCTAGATTTGAATAGAGAAAGTGGCTCTGTCACTTTGTTTCTGGGCAAAGTTGTATTTTTTGGAAGGGCTCTGATGCACATTTTTGTACGTATAAAATTGAATTTTACCTTCCACAGTTCTAGATCCAGAATCTAAACCTGGATCTAGATCCTTGTAAACCTGGCAAACGTAAGTGTTTAGTTGTTTTCCTCTATAGGGCAATGCTGTCAATCCATTGTACAGAAG